AGAATTGTGCTCTGGTGGGATGAGTAGAGGAGTGGATGAAACACAGTCACTCTCCAGGTAAGAACTTGTTTGGGGCTGGAGAGATGGCTCAGCAGTTAAGAGCACTGGCTGCTCTTGCAGAGGACCCAGGTTCAAATCCCAACACCCATAGCTAACAACCATCCATTAACTCTAGTTCCAGAGGACCTGACACCCTCTTCTCACCTCCATGGGCACTGCACAACACAGGTGCACTTACAAACATGCAGGCAATACACTTGTACACATAAAACAAAAATGAAAAATTGGTTTGTGTGCATCAAGTTCACTAATCTCTTTGAGAATGCTAGGAAATTTCTACCAGACAAAGACAGAAGCCCAAGCTTGCTTGCTATCAGTTGAATAGCCACACAAATGTTCCACAGGGAACAGGGCAAGACAGTTTGTTTCCTTTTGAGAGTGACATTAACACTGTCAGTCTCCTTGGGCTGATGAAGCAGATCAGGCTGTTGTATTGGAACATTCTCTCCAGGAAGGGGTGTGCGTGTGTGTGTAAAGGCATGTGGCTCACGAGACTCAGAAAGTAAACAAATGTCTCAGAAAGCTGAAAGTTGCAAGATTCAGATGGGCTGGGCTCCACAGGGTCACAGGAGCAAACAACTGCGAAGCAAGGAGACTAACAAAAAGAGGAGGTTCTGGGACCTGTCTAGCTGTCCATACATTGTGCAGGGAACTCCAGGGTGGCAGCCTCCATGACTTGTCACCCATGCTGGGGTGGGCTTTTCAGTGATGCAGATGCCTTTGAGTCATCCCTGCTCCTGTAACTGCTCACTCACAGTCCCATTAGTGGCCCCAATAAAGACTCACTGGTTTACCAAGTTGGTGCAGTTGTTACTTTGGCATTATGGGTTCCCTTTCTGGGGCAAGTAGAAGTGTGTTTGTGTGTTGCACCTCCCCAGGAAAGGTGTCTCACATAAAAAGACTCTTGCTCTCAGTCCCTCTTGGGCTTCCTTCAGCACTTAAACAGAATCAAAGACCCTGGTTTGAACCTAGGCCCTACAGTAGGTGGCTTCCGATTATTCTCTAGTCTCATTCCTGTGGTTTGCCAAGACTCACTGAACTGTCTGTCCCTACATGCCACGTACACTCAGGTGTTGAAGCCTTAAGCTGTCTGGAAGATTCTCCTAGATAACAAAGCTCACTCCTATTTTTCCAACAGTCACCTCCCAAAGGAAGCCTTCTTTCTTAGTCAATTTTTGGTAACAAATAAAAATGCTACACTGGTAAGTTATTTAGAAAAGTGAGGTTTACTTCTGCTCAGTTTGGGTCCAGGACTAAGAGGCTGCATCTGGAGATGGCCTTCTTGGTGACAGAGTCTGAAGATGTGCAGGGCACTGTGTGGTGAGACAGCATTCATGCCTTAGTTTCAAGCCAAACTGGCTTCTGTTGCAGACTTATTCTCAAATAGTCCATTAACCTGTAATTCATTTATCTCATGAACAGGTTGCTCCATTCGTGGGGTGCAGAGTCTTAGCCACGTTTTAAAGATCACAAGGTCCCACTCACTATTTTATGAGGATTAAATTTCAACCTGAGCGTCAGAGGGGAATAACCACATTGGAATCACCCCTCCTTCCATGATAGTACATCCAGCTCCCTACCACGCTCCTCTCCTTTCTGCTGTTTCTTCACAGCACTGACTACTGACAGCATTCAGTGTTTATGCTTCTAGTCTATCTGTAATCTACCCGTAAAAAGAAGCTTCATGAGATTTTGCTTCTGTATTGCCAGCACTTAAAACAGTGACTGTCACATAGTACACGAACAATAAATATCTGTAGAATGTGCCACGCCATCTCCAATGAAGCCTGCGTGAGATCCTCCGTGGGTTGAGGCTGGAACTTCAAGGAAGGTTGCCTCTTGGAATTGGCTGTGCTAAAAAACATGCAGTGTACTTGGCATGCTTTTACTTGCTATTATCTTTCTGTCACTGTATCATGGGCTTTCAGGGGCCCAGAAAGCACCTGGTATCTTTGACACCACTGTCACTGCCTTTATTGAAATCTTTTAATTATCCTAGTATGCAGGAAGAGTTCTCAGGAACTCAATCACCTCCAGGGAATAACGGATTTCTGGAAGAGAGACATAGATGGATAAAAATAGATAGAAGAAGGGTTTCTTCGTATTCATTACAATTCATGGATAAATTGGTAAGATCAAGACCACCTTGGTATCTTTTGACAAAGGATCAATAAAAGAGCATTAAAGGGGAAATATAGACTGTATTTGAAAATTGGTAGGATAGGAGAGAAGGATGGTTTCATAGGTCCCTAACATGGAATGGCCTTTCTGGGACCTAGGGAGTTAAAAAATAACTTAGAAGCCCTATGGCCCACTACAAATAAGCAAGGAATATTATCAAATAGTTAAAAAAGTAACATCAGGCACAGCTGGTGTTGAAAGTGCTTGGTGAGTTAAGGTCATTCTGACCTGGAACTACAAAGCCGAGCAGAATCCTAAGTGTATGAGAAAGGCTGGCAGTAAAAACCACAGTAAAGCAGGAATTTACTGTCTAGTACCAGGTTGATAAGATAGGGAAATGTGTTGGCAAAATTGTTTTACTTTCATCTCTGGAATTGTAAATCTTAGCATGACTGTTCTGCGGTTTTTGTAATCTTTGCTGTATATATCTCAAACCTTGCAACTGCAAAGATTGCCCTCAGACTTTCACCAAGCTCATGTGTGTCTGTCACTCGCCGACTCCTTGTCCACCCTCTCCACAACCCTGTTCCCGTCAGACTGAACTGCCCCGGTCTGGGCTGGTCCGTTGCAGAATGAATATGCTGGCTCCTGAGAGAACTATTCTCCAGGCTAACTATCTTGGGGATGAGGAAAGGAAAACTCCCTCATAGGACCTCTATTCTTGAAACCCTTTGAAGACAAGCATCACTTTGTAAGGAAATGTGTATAGACAAAGATTGGTAGATAATTAAATTAACTATGCTCAGAACAGAAACTAAACCTCAGGGAAATCTGGGCAAGAGACAATATGTGGTCCCTTATCTCACAGAGGGAGTGACATTTCATACTTAGAGCTAGAAATGCCTGACAGAAATAGTCACAATCTAACTGAGAAGCTAGCATCATGCTCGAAGTCAACAGCTGTTCCAACCACATACTGTACTGATGAATTACATTTAGGAGGATTCCAAGTTCAGGGCCAGCCTAGGTTATGGTAAGAACATCTCAAGAAAAAAAATATATATATGAAACAAAAAACTTTGAGAATTACCTTCCTTAGTAATCTGAGTTGCTTAGAAACCAACTAGTTTCATGAAACCCTTGGAAAGAACTCCGTAGTTCTGCCTACTTTGACTGCATAACCAGACCTCGGTGACCTTGGATTAGCGACAAAAGCCCCATTTCTGGTTTGAATCAGAAGACTGTTCTTTCCAACACTTTTCTCTAAATCCTATTTTAGAACACAGGTGTGGGGGCTGGGGTGATAGTAGGTAAAGTGCTTGCTGTGTATCCTTGATATCCTGGATTCAATTCCTAGAACCCAAATAAAAGACAGGTGTGGTAGAGTCTGTCTGTAATCCCAGTGCTGGGAGTGCAGATACAGGAAGGTTCTTGGGATCCACTAGATACCGAGCCTAAGGGAATTCCAGCCAGTCAGAGGAAACAAGGAAACAAGGTGGATCGCTCCTGAGGAACAAATACACAAGTGACTGAAGCCAAGACCAAGTTCTAGGCTTAGCACAACTGTGGGAGATCACCAAAGTCAGCACAGGGTAGGATGGAAAGAAAAGGTGATGGGGTAGCTCTAGAACAACAACCAGGAAAAAAAGTCCACTTGTTACACCTCTGTCAAGCAAGTCTCAAACTATCACCTTCACCACATAAAAAATAAGGGCAACTATCACTCAGGGAGCACAAGCTGGTATTCTTCTAGATGGTTTCGTTTAATCCTCACAGCAACCTAGTGAGAGCAGTACCATTAGTGTTTTTAGGTTATAAGGAAATGGGGATTGAAGTTAACCTGCTCAATGCTTCCAGGAGCCAAGCTGGTTTCTGGACAATGGATCTGACAGGCAACAGCATGATGCAGGCTGTGTACACTGCACACCCACCATCCACAGGGTACAAGTCTGCATGTGATCCAGTAATGAGGAGCACTTACCACCACAGAACCAGAGGTCCTGCTGCCTCCCATGATCACTGCCTCTCAGAACGGCCTAAGAGACCCAGCAGCACACCTCAAACACTGTCATCAATGATGGGTCCATGTGGGTGCCAGGGTGAAGGGACAACGGAAACTTACAATAGTTTTTTTCTCTAGTTAACCCAGTATTTAGTCCTGGCAAGGGAGAAGGGGGAGCTATTCTGGGCTACTCTTGAGTATTTACTAAAGTCAGTAACTATGAAAACTGAGTAGTACCTGTGTGTCATGGGAGTAATACTTTTTACCAAGTATTGTAAATCAAATTAAGCCTAGAAACACTCTAGTGGACTCTAAACGCTCTGGTATGTACACACCAAACACAGAGCAGTAGTTACCTCTGGCAAGGGGGTAGAACCAGAAGACAAGGGAGGAGACAAAGGAGACTTGATATATCAGGTCTTTTTTTAGTATTTATTATTTTATGTGTATGAGTGTATTGCCTGTATGTAAATGCACCCATGCCATGCAATGCCCAAGGGGGTTAGAAGAGGGTGTTGGATCCTCCGGAACTGGAGTTACGAATGGTTGTTAGGTGCCACGTGGGTGCTGATATATGAACCCGGGTCTTCTGCAAGAACAGCCAGTGCTCTTAACCACTGAGCCATCTCTGCAGCCCCCCTCCCATTTTTTTTTTTTAAAAGGAATTCACCTGTAAATTTCTAGGGCAATAAATGATCAATTTTTTCTTAGTAGTGTAATATTGGTAATTTAAATCTTCAGTTATCCATATATTACAACTTTATCTATTGAAGATACAGTATAATTATGAAAAAATGAACAAGCTCTAATACATTTGAAAAACAATTACCTCCTGTTTTAAAGGTATTAATTATGAATAATCTCCCATACCATTATACAGTAATGTGACTTAATAAGTTCAAGAAAAAGTATAAATAGATGAAAAAATGAACAATGTTCTTTTAAAAGCAACCCATACACATATATACACATACAGATTTAAACTGTGCAAGATGGATGTTTGAGATGATTAATCTTTTTTATATATATTTTAAAACAATAAAAAATAGTTTTAAATGTCCTATGTAGATCCATTTACTATTTTGAATCATTTCTCTGGGTTTTTATAAGTCTGCTAACTGATACAAGTGTTTACAGGTGTTTAGGAAATCTCAGCACTCAATAAGGAAAGGACTAGGCCCAGGAAAGCCACATGTACTACAGATGCATACCTATGGTGGACAAGATTTCTTATGATTTTCATATAAATCAATAGCATTCCTCAACATACTCATTCCACACCAGAACCCAGTAGAGACACTACTCAGATAAAGATTTTTAAGAGGGACTCAGCTGAAAGACAGCCTCGACTTTGAATGCCTAAGACACAAGATCTAGAGGTGGTCTTCTGGGTTGAGGAGATGGCGCGCATGCCTCAGTTCAGATCCCCAGCACCTACACACAAAAAAAGTCAAAGACAGGGACACATGCCTGTAACCCCAGCAATGGGTGGAGGAGGGACAGGTAGAACTTGGAGCTCTCTGGCCACCCAGCCTAGCTGAAACAATGAGCCCCAGGATCATGAGACTATCTCAAAAAATAAAGTGCAGAGTGATCAAGGACATTTAATGTCAACTCCTGGCTTCTATGCACATATATGTGCATACGTAGGTGCACACATAGCCCTCCTCCCAGTCTTACTGGCAGTGAAACCCAGTTCTGGTCAGATTCATACGGTCACCAAAAGTGTGCCACAGTAGTGGAACAAGTGGAGACCTAAAGAAAAATTATCTGGGGTTGCCCCTTTTGTCACAAAAAAGGGAGATCGTCCCTGAGGCCCCTTCCTTGGCTCCATCCTAAGCCTTTAAGCTTGATACTGGATGAAGAGCAAATGAAAGGGTTCTTTAAAAGCTGCTGTTCCCATCTGGGACCATCACACAAGTGCTAACCTGCAACAGCTGAGAATGAGCAAGTCCGCTGCACACTGAGCCACACAAGTGTTTGGGGCTTAAAACGGACCATCTTTTAAAATGCTTGTCATTTTAGAAACTATTTTTCTTCTTATGAGAGATTAGTCTTCAGAAAGCTCCTGAGAAAGTCATTCTAAACCACTTTCTTGTGAGGTGAACTAAATCTTCCAGTTGTTTATTAAGGGCTATTATACTGGTTTGCCAGGGCTACCTCAGCACAATACCAAAACCCAAGTACTGAATGGTTTAAACGGCAGATGTTTATTTTCTTACACTTCTGGAGCTTGGCAGTCCAAGACCAAGGTGTCAGGCATTGGATTCTTCTGCACACCTCTGAGGCTTATGAACGGACATCTTCTGTGTTTCTACCTGTTGTTCTGTGTCCTGATCTCCTTCTTTTAAGGGCATCAGTAATACTGGCTTAGGGATAACCTACCCTAATGGCCTCATTTTAATTACTTCCTTAAAGATTTAATCTCCAAATACAGACAATATTTAATATTTATAATCCTCACATATTCTGGTGAGGATTTCAGGACTTGGACATACGAACTATGGAGGACCTGATTCAGCCTGCAACAGCTACACAGTTTTCTTTCACTTTGGTTTAAATATTGATAAAAGAATTCAGAAACCAAAAAGACGACCCTATATTATGTCCATATCAAAGCCTAACTAGTATATGAAAAGAATGTGTTCTAATAAATCACTGTATTTGTAGCAAATTAGAGTTTACTGAAAAACTGTTGAGAACTTTGCCCTACGACAGCAGGTTTAAGGTGAAAAGGTGACAGTCAAGTCTAGATAGCAGGAAGCTTAACTCAGAAACAAAAGCTAAGATCCATCACTCAATAAGCATTTTAACAGCTACTGACATACCAAAGGTTGGCTGAAGTTATTATTTCTCCATGAGATACTTCTGCTGGGAGTGGTCTTAGATCACCACTACCTGGGTCACCATCTTCTGGAAATACCCAGGTCTCTGCATTCCACCTGGACTCAAAGCTGACCTAGCACCTGCCCATCTACCTAGGTACACCACCCACACCACCCTGAGAGCTGTGTGCTGCCAACTACCATCCACTCTTGACCCAGGAGAAAAGCCATATTTGTCCAAGTGGCAAACCCGATTATTATATTTTTATTTTATATGCAGTACATGAAAAAAAAAATTTCTGGTACATGAAAAAAAAAAATTCTATCCCAGCCATGATCAATATCCTTGTTTCTACTTGGTATGCCACTGAAAACGTGGCAAATTAAAAAAGCAGGACTGAACAGAGTTACCTCCAAACAGTAAGTTTTTCTTTTTCAGTAGTCAAATCAGAAGCTGCTGAGGGGGAAATCAAACATGAACCTGACAGTGATTACTCACTGAAAAGGAAGACGAAGCTTCTGCTTTCAAGTGCGAAGGTTAAATCTGAATGAAGACTGAATGGTACAGAGCTTATCAGTCACCGAGCACAGGATGAAGAACACTGTGAAGAACACTGTGGAAACAGCAATCCTTTCTGTAGAACGAGGCCTCACAATCTGCTCCAGACACTGGCGAGGCGGCAGCGCTGGTCCAAGAGCAGGTTTCCAAGGAGATGCACCAGTGCGCCTCTCCCTGCTGCTTCTGTGAGGCCTGCACTCCACTGGCTCCACGTATCCTGGCCCTTTGGACTCACAGCAGCTACATGGCTACTGGGTTAATATCTTCAGTCTTGGCGGAACCAAAAGGTAATATCCTATTGGCTCCTATGGGAGACAAAGCTTCCTTCATCTTTAGCAAGAGAATTCTGCATCCCATGATGCCACTCTGGCTACCTCTTTTTCATGTGGGACCTCATGTGTGCAGCAATTGAACCAGCTATTTCTACATTCTTCTTGTTTTGGCCAAAATAATCTAGAAACTCTCCATCTGGTCCAATCAAGTACATTATTATCGTGTGATCCACCTGCAGAGAGGAGAGGAAGAGACATAGTGTGATAAAAAGATTACCAAAATAAGCTGCTTTACCAGCTTATTTGATAAAAAGATTACCAATAAATACTGCAGGATAGGAGAACTGAACATTAGTGCCTAAATAACAATTATAGCCTCTACTAGTTGCAATGTTTCTTACAGAATGGGCCTAAGCCTATTTACATCAAACCCAGTGGCATGGATCATCTAAAATCTTTTCTTCTAGAAATTTGCAATGGCTACTGCCTGTAGCATCAGTTTGGAATTTCTGTTCAGTTCTTCACATATGCACCCACACAATCTGAGAGGGAATGTACCTTCTAAGAACTGGTGCCTATAGGCCTTCATAAAATAGTCAATACTATAGACAGCAATCTTTACTTGAAAATACCTTCCATTTCTGAATGGAGCTATCTCATCTGACCCCTTCTCTGTAGTAAAAAGAGCTGTCACATGGATACCAGACATGGTAGCGCATGCCTTTAATATCAACACTTGGGAGGCAGAGGCAGGTGGACTGCTAGGAGTTTGTAGGCCAGCCTGGTCTACACAGTAAGACCATGTCTCAAAAAACCCAAAAGAATCAAAAAAACCAAAACAACAACAATTAAGAAGGAGCTGTCACATGGGAGTCAAAGCACCGGTAGAAAGTACTTTCCTCAGTAAGTGCCTGGTATACTCCTGCTTAACATACTTTAAGAGAAGCCAGAAAACAAATCACTAGTGGAGTTATATAATTTACAAATCCGAATACAGTGATTTAGAACAGATATTAGTAATTCAAAAAAACCTGGAAGGCATGTTTTAAAATTTTTATTTGATGCACTGAGCAATACTATCTGAAGAAAACTGCTTGGAAAACCCCACGGGCCATAAATGCCACACCCTAGCAGCCCTCTTCAATCCATCATCTATTTTTCCTGACAAAGTTCTTAAAATGTCTCAGCTCCAACTTAAGTTTTGATTACTCACTGATCCTTTTTGGTAGTCATTTCCACAAATGCAATTTTAAAAAAGTAGATCTGGCACCAAAAGTCCTTAAGAGTTTATTGCAGGTTTGATTTGGCAAGACAAGAAGAAAGATAGGAATGTGATCACACATACCAAAGTGGAGACTCCCCAAATATATCCCAATCCGCATTATATGACTGTGAGGCTGTTACCTTTTATACACACACACACATTCATAAGGAGATAGCAAATGGAAAGAGCTACTGGCCTGCCATCAGAAAGAATGCTACCAAGGGCTCAGACAGCTGGTGGCTTCATGTGCAGAATGTACTGCAGGAGCCAGGCAGGGCTCAAAACTTCTCACACTGACCAAGAATCATAATTATACTCCTGCTCTCCCTCCAAGCCTTTCTCTGTAGCTTATACCTCTTTTTCTTTACTGTTTCCTTTTATAGAAAACTAATTTTTCAACAAGTTCATACACATATATATATAAAATGTACCTTTTTTTCTATTTTTTCTTTTTCTCTATTTATCCTCTTCCTTAAAAAAACAAACAAACCAGAATTGCAATATATTGGGCTTACTTTCTGAGGGTTCTCAATACAAATTATTGACTAGATATGTAACTTAAAACTTCTTCTATCCCTGTCAAATTTGTCAGTGATCACTTTTCAATATTCACATGGGTTATGGCCAGAGCAAATCAACATTTGTTCTAATACAGAATTCTTCAAAAGGCTAATAGCTAATAGCATAGAAAAAAGAAACTGGCAATTACATATTCTTTTACCTGCCCTTCCTTCTCTCTTTTTTTTTTGTGAGTCTGTGTATGTGTGGAGGGGTATGTGTACATGTGAATGGGCATACCCATGTGCATGCAGAGGCCAGAAGATGATACTGGATGTCCTGCTCTATCACTTTCTGCCTTACTCCCCTGAAACAGGGTTTCTGACTGAACCTGGAAGCTGGGCTGGCAGCAAGCAAGCTGCACTAACCCTCCTGTTTCCATTCCTAATTGTGCTGGGATTACAGGTGTGCATGGCCATGCCTGGTTTTTTTATGTGGGTACTGGGGATTTGAACTTAGGTCTTTCTGTGTGCTTGCACAAAAAGCTCTCTTACTGAGTCATCTCCCTAGCTCTCACGTGTCATGTCAACCCTTGAGACAGGTACCCTCTATAAAGGACAGATAGCTCTGACTTTAAGAACTAGCATCTATCCAATTTCAAAGTCCACAATCTTTTTTAAACCATGTTGCCACTATTTCTAACAACTACATTTACAGAACAGCAACTTGTGAAGTTCTTCTGTGTTTGTTTTGAGACAGGGTCTCCCTTGCTATGTAGGCTAAACTAGCTCAGATTGCTCAGAGATCCTGCCTCTGCCTCCCAAGTACTGGGATTAAAGGCATGTGAAACCATGCTTAGCAACCCATGTTTTTTAATATATATTTTTATTGCCTAGAAAGGTAATCGATGCACAATACTCTTCTATTCGGGCCTCCCAGTGTGCCTTAGATCTTCTAGGAGGGAACCACTGCCACTAATACTTCTGTACTCTCAGGGAAATTCTCTGCATTTTCTGCTGTGTCTATGTCCACTACCACCTCGCTACTGTTACACACAAGCAACAGTATATGATACCCAGGGTCTTATTTAACAAGACAGAAGTCTCTGTTCTGCATCAGTACAGATACAGTAACTTAAAAAGTGGTTGCTTGGTTTTCAGTCCTTTTTCTTTAAAAATAACATTATAAGGTTCACCTGTAGGACAATTCCCAAGTAGAACCTGTGATTTAAAAGCAATTAACTTTAGATGTTGATAAAATTTCCAAACAGCCCTCTGAAGAGGGTTTATCAGATTAACTCCCATTGGCAACACATAGAAATATTTTACTCCAACTCACTCCAAACAGCACACTTATTTTTCCAATTTTGACAACAGAGTTTTCAAACTTTCTGATCACAGCTGAACAGGTAAAATTGGCACCTCATTAATTCACATTTCTTTTATTATAAAACTGTCAGGGCTGGAGATGGCTCAGCAGTTAAGAGCACTGGATGCTCTCGCAGAGGACCCAGGTTCGATTCCCAGCACCACATGGTGGCTAACAACCATCTGTAACTCCAGTTCCAGGGGATCCCATCCCCTCCTCTGACCTCAATAGGCATTGGGAGACACGGATGCACTTATACACATGCAGGCATAACACTTATACATATTAAATAAAAATAAATAATTAAAAAAAACAACAACTGGTTGTCTTCTCTGAGATTTAAAGCCATTTGCATTAACCACCCCCAAACTATTTTCTAGCTAACAATCATATGATAATGTGGTACTATATGTGTAAAATAGCAGCATGCAGGTTTAGCTTTGTAGTGAATTCTGAGTGTTTGGCATGCCCTAGTTACTAATACTGACTAAAAGATTCTACTGAAACACCCAGCATGTTCCCCTTTGCTTGCTGCTGTCTGACATGGTAAAAATCTCATTCCACTACATCTCGATGTTAATCATTAACCAGCCCCCAACCTTTTACTGATCTTCAATCTCAACAGTTATTTCCATCTGTATAGAAAAGTTTATGGCCACAAGATACAAGAAGTCATACTAATTAGAAACTGAAGCTGGAGGGTGTCTCCCCCTGTTGGCTGAGTGAGCAAATGTGCAGCAATGAATGGATCAAGAGTTCAGTCTTACAGAAGCACACCTGTATGCCTAAAAATGGGGTCTAGGAAGCATTCTAGAAGGGCAAGGGAGTCTCCATAAAACTTCTATTATTTGAATTTTGAGATAAAATAACTGCATTTCATATCACCTGCATCACAAGTACAAATTTCAAGGTCCAACATGTGCTTGGTTTGCTAATGAACTCAGTGGCCCCCAGCTGTATATTGCTAGTGACAGGCAGAGGACATGAAACGATGCAGTCTTGCTACACCAAGGGCAACCAAACAAGGGAGAAAATGTGATCAATATTTTAAACAGAAGACTGTGGAGGGGCAGTTGATGGTACACATCTGCCGGCAGCTTGACTCAAACTCCTACAGGAAGAAGAGACTTGGTTTCAGCAAATACTTCCTGTTATTTGAACTCAATGTTTTAAATTTCATTAGCCATTTGGCTTTTTAAATTTTTTAATTTTATTATTTTTATTTTATGTGTATGAGTGTATTGCCTGCATGTATGTGAGGGCACCCGTGTTGTGCAATGCCTTCAAGGACAGATGAGGGCTTCGGATTCCCCTGGAACTGGAGTTAAGGACGGTTCGTAGCCACCATGTGGGTGCTGGGAATCGAACCCGGGTCCTCTGCAAAAGCAGGTAGGGCCCTTAACCCCTGGGTTGGGCCACCTCCCCAGCCCCTTTTTTTTTTTTTTTTTTTTTTGGTCTTTTTGAGACAGGCTCTCCCTGTAGCCCCAGCTGTCCTGGACTCACTATATAGACCAGGCTGGCCTTGAACTCACAGAGATCCACCTGCCTCTGCCTCCCCGAGTGCTGATGCTGGGACTAAAGGCGTGTGCCACCATGCTCGGCTAGTCATTTGGTTTTATTTGTATAGAAATTTAACTTCAGAACAGGACTACTGATTATATAATTTAACAAAACTCATTCCAGGCTGATTCTCTCCCCTGCTTCCACTAACTGGCACTATCAGTTAAATTCAAACCAGTTACTCACTACACTAAAGGAGAAGTTTGGAAAAGTCCTTCTCCATGGTCTCCTCTCCTGACCTATGCTCCTCTCCATTTCTTCTCAGACTACCAGTACAGCAAAACGAAACTACACAAGGGTCCTCCGCTTTCCTTAAATGCAGGGAATCCAAAGTTTTCCCCAATGCTATGAGGCATCAGACTTGGAAAATGGGATTACTGTGTGAGCTTAATTAAGGCATCACGGCGAGAAGCCTGTTTTAATTCTGACTGTAGGTTATAAGGGCACACAATGTACTCTAGGCTCAAAAGCAGATGGTCAGAGTGCTTGCTGTGAAAACAAGAGAACTTGAGTTCAGACCCCGAGTAACCACACAAACATATATTCAGTCACCAATGTGTCTGTCTGTAAGCCCAGCATTAGAGGATGGAGAGAGGCAGGTCCTGGGAGCTTGATGACCAGTCATCCTAGTAAAAATGGTAACCTTTGAATTCAATGAGACCCTGTCTCAATTAAGGTAGAGAGCAATGCAGGAAGACCTGGTGTGCCTATTTACCTTGCACCTGCACACATATTAAAAAGAGGGAAGGGGGTAGAAAGAAAGAAAAAGGGCCAGAGAAACCACAGTGGGCAATGGAGACGAGGCACTGCAGTAAGCATGTCTCTGCATACTGCTCTAGGGACAGGCCACAGGGAGCTGGCAATCAGCGACTCAGAGTCCTGGCCATTTTTCTTTTCACAAAACCAGTTTTGCAGCTAGAAAGGAAGGCTCATAAGATTAATCATTTCACTCAACTAACATTACAGAAAAACCAGAGTGTGACAACAGAAAGAAAAAAAAAATCTGTAACATAGAATGTCAAGTGCTCACCAGCACTGAGAAGAAAAGTAACCACTGCGCACCATGAAATTGCCACAAAGAAAAAGGATGCAGCAGCTTGGATATTAGCTCAGGACTTCAAGACAGCGCTGATGAACAGGAAAACAGACCTTACTGCAAGAACCACAACGACAGCCTAATAGAATTTCTGTCTCTCACTATTAAAAGCCATATGCTAAACTGAACTGTGTAAGGTGTGCAGCCAACAAACCTGGTAGATAATCTGCCCTTTGATGGCTCTCGTCTTTTCTCTTGCTTTCTGAAACTCTCATTCAACTCAAAACAAATGATTTCCTAAGGCTTCGAACTGCTGCTTAAAAAGGAGCACTTCTGTCTTCTACCTCTTCATCAAGGGTGCAGGGAGCACCAAGGTAATGCCGAGAAGCTACACCTGAGGTAACATGAACGGCACCTCTGCATTTCCAACACCCAACACGGTGCCCAACTATCTGCTTTTATTTTAAAATTCTTTTTGGATTTATTTAATTTTACATGTATGTACATAAGTGCATCCGAGTGTGCCATGCCCGTGGAAGCCAGAAGAGGGTGTCAGATCCCTGGGAAATGGGGTGAAGGGCAGTTAATTATTAGCCACTATGTGGGTGCTAGGAATTGAACCCAGGTCTTCTCCAAGAGCAACCAGTGCTCTTAACCACTGAGCCATTTTTCCAGCTCCCCAAGTATCAGCCTTTGTACTGCTTTGTGAGTGCGTGTGACTAGAGAAGCCAGAAAATTTATGAGAACAGCGAATCAAAACAATCGTTTTTCAAAATTCCCAAGGAATCTGTAATAACTGCAGGTTCACTCCTGTCTCAATAGCCAAACAAACATATAAAGCTGTGTATGACCCAGATCCAGGCCATGGGTTAGAACCTCAGCATATACTTACTATATAGTCCTCATCCTCATCCTTAGGGCCAGGGCTGTAATACACCCTGTAAGCTCTGGCCACTCGGTCAATCTCTTCTTTTGTGCCAGTCAAGCCAACCAATTTGGGAGAAAATTCTAAATTAAAAAAAAAAAAAAGAAGCAGTGAAAAATGAAAGACAAATACAACCATCTCTACTTAAGATAAAACCAAAACCACAACAAAAAACACACAACCGTGAAAACCCCAGTGTGACTACAAAGCAGCTCTGTTGCTACTTTGCTCCTAAGTCCCCAACATTTATAATTTAAAGGAAAAGAAAGAGAGCAAATGACAATTCTTCCTGTGATAGATATTGGTTCTTTTTGTGACTATATAATATTTGGAGGAAATAGATTCTAATTATTTAAATCATGTTTTTAATTAATTTAGTTAAAAATGCATATGTTGAGGTACATCGAAGTACATTTTCATTGCATTGTATGAAAAGAAACTTAGTTCAGGGGCCAAAAAGATGTCTCAGTGGATAAAGGCACCTGCTGCTAAGCCTGACAACCTGAGTTCTAGCCCTGGAATCCACATGGTAGAAAGGGAGAACAGACTCCTTCCCAGTTGTCTTCTGATTTATGCGTGCACACCCCCCCCACACACATACATTCTCTTTCTCTCTCTCTGTAAATGTAAAAAAAACAAGAAAACTCAGTTCACAATTAGGATCATACCACATTAAAATATCTCCATCTAGGCCAGCAACATGGCTCAGCAGATAAAGGCATCTATTGCCAAGCCTGACCACCTAGGTTTGATCCTTACAACCTATATGATGGAAAGAGAGAAATGACTCCCATAAGTTGTTCTCTGACCTCTACACATGAGCCATGGCACACACTCAAATAAATAAATAAATAAATAAATGAATAAATAAAACTTTTAAAAGCTCAAAATTTGCCAGGCATGTGGTGCATGCCTTTAATCCCAGCATTCAGGAGGCAGAGGCAGAGGCAGGCAGATCTCTTGAGTTTGAGGCCAGCCTGTTCTACATAGTGAGTTCCAGGCCAGCTGGGGCTACAGGGAGACCCTGTCTCAAAAAGACCAAAAAAAAAGTTAAAAACTCTATCTGCATCTTATTTTCCAGTAGCTAATCAAGAGACATCAGTCACAGAAAAAACATGCTGTTATGTTTTTGGTGTTTACATAATGGTGTAAGTCTCTTAAAAGACTTGAATTCATTAGCCCATTAAAGTGACAATCTGACATTAAATCAGTGTCTTCTTCAAAAGGTACACAGAAACTTAATTTTTGTTCCTTGGATGAATTCATTCTAAGTTAGAAAATTATTCAAGTATTGAACAAGCAGGGCAGCTTGTCTTTATCTTCCACTCTTTTCGAGTACATAATGAGAAAGAAAAATGAAGCCCAAGTGCACATCCAAACTTTTCAATGGAATTACTGGAACTGCACTATATTCCTAAACAGTAACAGATTGTCAGTTACTGGCTGTGAAAACCAATTAGCAATACACATGTATGTGGTTTAAGGTTAATATTTTTGTATTTTGGCTAGGCGTAATTCAGATGTCTATTTACTGGGAGATAACATGGCTTATCTAATGTGACAAAACCAACTGCCAATATAAAATAAAAACTGTAAACTTAAAGATGAAAATATAAATCTTTGTCACCTTGGGTTAGGCAAAGGTTTCTTACATACCAGACAAAAAGCACTGTTGGACTTTATTAAAACTGAAAATAGTGTTTCAAAAGACACTGTTAAGAGACTGAAGTGATAGGCCACAGACTGGGAGAAAACACTTGCAAATCAAATACATAATAACTTGTTTCCAGAATATAATTATACAGACATGCACCGAAACAAACTTATAAGGACAAAAACCGTTAATAGACACTTCACCAAAAACATACATAGATAGCAAATGAGCATGAAAACATACTTAAGAAGAGGGCAGTCGCGGTGGCCCAGCAGGTGAAGCCACTTGCTGCCAAGCCTAGTCACCGAGTTCAATGCCTGGGACCCACAAGGTAGAAGAAAACCAACTCTCCAAAGTTGTCCTCTGCCTCCACACATGTGCCCACTTGCACATGCATGTGCACATATCCATGATAAATAGATGCCAATACTTACTAGAGATGCTACAATTAAAAAGACTGTCCATGCTAAGTGTGGTGGGGATGTGAAGAAACTGAACTCTCCATACTCATATTAGAAATGCAAAAATGTACAACCATTTTAGAAAAGTCTGTCAGTTTCTTTAAAAGTGAAGCATACACTATAATATCCAGCCATTTCACAACGAAGCACAGAATTAAGAGAAAGGAAAGCATGTGCCCATATAAGGTTTGTACATGAATATTATCTGTAATAGGCAAAAAACTATTAAAAAAAATTCAAATGCTCATCAATGGACTCACTACTCAGTAATAAAAGGGAACAGACTATGATTCATCCTATAGGATGGATGCAACTCAAAAGAATTATGCTGGGACTGGAGAGAGATGGCTCAGCAGTTAAGAGTACCTGCTGCTCTTACAGAGGGCCCAGGTTCAATTCCCAGCACCCACATGGCAGCTAACAACTATCCCCAACTCCAACTCCAGGGGAATCCAATGCCCTTTCCTGACCTCCTTAGGCATTGCATGCACTGATGCACTTACTACATGCAGGCAATACACTCATAACACATAAAAATAAATGTTTAAAGAATTTTTAAAAGAGGGCTCTTATTTCAAAATGTTTATGAAACATGCTCCTCACCTGTCATCTAAACCCAGTGATAAATCTGAGCTTCATCTTTTTATTTGCCTGTAAAACTGGTGATACCATTTGTCCTATTTCAAAAGACACTGATAACGTCTCAAATGGGGCCGCGTGTGGTAGACCATGCCTTTAGTCCCAGAACTTGGGAGGCAGAGGCAGGCGGAACTCTGTGAGTTTGAAGCCAGCCTGGTTTCCATAGCAAGTTCCAGGACAGCTGTGGCAATAGGGAGACCCTGTCTCAAACACACGCACGCATGCAGACGCACGCGCGCGTGTGCACACACACACACACACACACACACACACACACACACAGTTTCAAATGGGTTTATTTTTCAAACTGTTAGCAAGTAAATCTATATAAGCTATTATCAGTAAAACATACCTTTCACATAATTTGCAACGGCTTCTTTTGTGTCCCTTTCTGGGTCAATGGTGATGAAAAGTGGAGTTAAATTTGGCAGAGATGTAATACTATCTGAAAAAAAGTTCCAATTAATCAATATTCACTGTAAAGGAAGAGAAAACCAGCAAAACTGGGAGTGTGCTATAGCGAAGTGTTAAGAAATATAGAGGACATCAAGCTCTTGAGTGGAGGACGGGGAAGGGGATACAATGCCCTTTAGGAGGAGCAAGTCCATATATGGTCTGTGGAAGAACCAGAAAGACATTCTATCAAATACCTCTGCTGGAATGATGTGATGCTGGATCACATCATGTGGCTCCTATTTATTTAGTTTATTTTTTTGGTTTTTGAGATAGGATCTCCTTGCAGTTCCAAGTGGCCTGAAACTTATATGTAGACCAGGCTGGTCTCCAACTTAAAAGTTCCTCTGTCTCCTGAGTGCTGAGATTAAAGGTATATGTCATCACACCTGGCCTGGCTCTTATTTCTTAATCTAATCCAATCTTTGTAATTTTCCCTTTTCCCCACAATATCTCAAATACAAGGTAAGCTATTAATATGGACTGAATATACCAAAGTTTTTTACTTTAGGAAAGACTCTTCCTTCTAACTGGCACTAATAAAATACTTCTGACTACAGATCACTTCAGATTTCCTCACCTATTACAACAGCAATGAGAAAGCTACAATAAAAGGAGACAGAAGCCACAATGACATTTTCAAGTGATCTAACATTTAGACTCAAAACAAGCTTCCTTTGGTAGAGAATAAGATCATAGGAATCAAAGCAATTAACAAGCTGAATGATACTTTACATTCTTACAGAACAAATAATTACAACAGCCTTCCTAATGTTAATACAGGAACAAGAAAAACATGGTGCCACTAAATAAACATAAACTCTAGAGACAGCAATGGCTTTCTTACCGATTTCATCCACGACTTGAATCATTTTTTCTAGTTCTTCTGGGCAGATATCAGGGCAATGAGTGAAGCCAAAATAAATCAATACCCACTGACCCAGATAGTCCTTGTCAGTTTTGGGTTCTCCAACATGAGTTATGAGGGAAAATGGTCCCCCAAGCAAAGGCTTTCCGATACTTCGATGTCGTTGCTTCTCTAGTTCTTAAAGAGATATACACCAAAACAAATCATTCTATACAGAGTCACTCAAATATGTGATATAAGGTCAGCATAATACTAATAATGGTGTGTGGGGGGGTGTAAAATATAAAAAAACAGTTTTCAAGATGCTAATAAAACTATTTTCAGAAAAATAAGCATAAACTAAGAAAGCCAAATCAAATTAAATGCTGTAATTTCTAATAAGCACTATAACAAAGTGGCAAAAAATTTCTTCTCTTCCAGAACAGTTCAGTCCTAAGCCATTCCAAATTTGGTGTGGAGAAGAGGCCATGTGACCTAGAGCAGATAACTGAGCCTGGGTGAGGGACTCTGCAACTGAGTGTGCAAGAGGCAGCTGTATGGTGAGGGGCAGCAGTGATGGGATCTTAGTTTTGCATAGAGGATTGATGAAATATAGGGATGTGAAGTAACAAATGAAAAGAAGCCAGAACTGTGGAAGGGGGAAAACTAGAACAAGCTCTGTAGTTGTGAAAGATAATCAGAGACACCAGTGTGAATTTATGGTTTCAATATACAGGGATTCAACAACTAAAAGAAAATAAGAACGCTTTTTGTTTGTTTGTTTAAGAAATGGCTGATATAAGCTGAAACATGCAAGGTGAGCCATGAGCCTAGAACCTCTTATAGCAGAAGGAAGAACTCAAATACAGAAAACATGGTAAAACAGAATCCCACGTGAAAAGGTTCCATTCTAGTTTTATTTCTGTTGTTATGATAAAATATCCTGACAAAAAGAAACTTAGGGGAGAAAGGTTCATCTTACAATTGCAGGTTAGTCATCACTATGGGGAAGTCATAGTGGAAGGAGCCTGTAGCAGCTGGCCACATCATACCTACATTCAAGAGCTTAGAGAAATAAAAGCATGTGTGCTTAATGCTCAGAGTTCTTACACACAGTCCGGGTCCCAAAACTAGGACCTGTTACTGCCATTTTCAGACTGGGTCTTCTTCCCACATCAATTAAGGCAATCAAGACAGTTCCCTAAAGACATGCCAGCAGGCCAAGCTGATCTAGACAATCCCTCACTGAGACTCTTCCAAGGTGATTCTAGGTTGTGACAGGTTGACAATTAAAACCATCAGAAGATCCCATGAGCTATGGTGAGACACTTGTAGAGCATCAGAGATGAGATCACAACCCATTGACTAAATAGGAAACAATGACTCTATAGTAACAAAAAGCAATGAATAATTCAGAGCGATGAAAATAGCATAAACATATTATCTTAACACACACATGAGAATAGCTTGGTAAACAATGCTTTACTCAAATGATTCAACATCATTAGTAATGGGACATACAGAAACCACTAGGCATCTGACTATATTCAGTGAGGATACAGCATCATTTTTGTGACATTCTTGTCAAAGGCTGCAGGACCTTAATTGAATCATGAGGAAAGACCATGTCAGAGAAACTAAGACATAATTGGCCTATAATCTTCAAAGTCGAAAAGTTCATGAAAGTCAGGGGAAGCTCAGAAACTGAGAATCTGAAGAAATTAAAGAGACAATGGGAAACAAGGTGTGGTTCTGAACTCTAAAAACAATACAAAAACAAAACTTTAAGATTGAACTTGAGACTGTCTTAAGACTGAAAAATAAATAGTACCATGACTGTTAATTTTCTGCTTGATGGTTGGGATATTGCTAGAGAATGTCCTTGTTTGTAGGAAATATACAACATATTTGGAGATGATGAGGCACCAGTGTCAGCAGAGCATCAAATAATTCTGGAACATTAAAATTATCTCACAATAAACTTTCTAAGAAATTGCAAACTGAAGTCAAAAGAAGCTTATAGATTTTAGAATCATTTGTCACTACCTTCCTAGCTTTTCAACATTTGAAAATTCATTTTCTTGGGCACCTGAATGAAATTACTGCTAATTAAAATATGAGAATCATATAAAATACCCTTTTTCTGCAAAATGGTCATTTCTATCATATCAGGATAGAAATTACACTGCTAAGATTCTAATGATATGAATTCTCCAGATTTAAACATTTCTCTATAACATCAAGAAATTTTAAAGTTACTAGATTTAAACAGTATTTTAAAGATTTACCTGAAACTTTTAAAGCAAATCTTAAAGTCTTGAAGTAGTCACTAATATAAACAGGTTTCTGTTTTTGAAATCCCCTAAACATTTCGGAGTAGTGCCTGGCTCTCCCTTAATCACAGCCAGCCTCTGGGCCTTGTCCCCTGCTGCTACTCCACTGGTGTGCAATATCTACTCACACTGTTCTCCATGTCTGACCCCTAAGAAGCCACCTCTGATTCTAAGGTTGAGTCTTTTTCAGGCCCTCAGAAAATCCTGCACTTCCCTCAGGCCTGGAGGAATGTTATCTGATGAAATCCTTGGTTTCTGTGTCTGTCTCCTTGTCAACTGAACATCAACAGCTGGACCACATCTTGGTCATTTTTATACCTTCTAGATCTCAAACTTCTTACATTCAAACTTATCTACATTAGAAAATTTTTTTATTATTTGTATTTTGTTTATATGAGTATTGCTTGCATGTATGTGCATGTACCCGTGTTGTGCAATGTCCGCAGAGGTCAGAAGACAGCGTCCAATTCCCCTGGAGCTGGAATTATAGACAGTTTTTAGCCACCATGTGGCCATGTGGGTGCTGGCAATCAAACCCAGGTCCTCTGCAAGAGCAACCAGTACGCTTAACCGCTGAGCCATCTCTCCAGCCCCCCATAGTAAGTCTTTTAAAACTGTTAAACAATGGCATCTTGGAATTCATTCTTGAAAGTTACCAACACTGATGGAAAAATGCAAAACTTAATTGCATTCTGTTATTGCATTTAATTATATCAATTTTAATTTCTTTTCAAGAAATATTATTTTATGTGTATGAATATTTTGCCTGTATGTATGTAAGTGCACTCATATCACACAATGCCCACAGAGGTCAGAAGAGGGTGTTCGATCCCCTGGAGCTGGAGTTACAGATGGTTATTAGCCACTGTGTGGGTGCTGGGAATTGAACCAGGATTTTCTGCAAGAGTAGCCAGTGCTCTTAACTGCTGAGCCATCTCTCCAATTTTAATTTTTTAGCTGTGCCATGATCATGTAAGATATTAACATGGGGGAGGAGGGCCTGCTGGGTGAAAGGTATATGGAGAACTTCTTACGGCATCTTTACAACTCTTCTGTAAATTTTAAATTATTTCAAAATAAAAAACTTAAGGGGCTGGAGAGATGGCTCAGTGGTTAAGAGCACTGATTGCTCTTGCAGAGAACCCGGGTTTGATTCCCAGCACCCACATAGCGGCTACAAACTGTCCTTAACTCCAGTTCCAGGGGAATCCGAAGCACCTCCAGAGCATTGCAGGACATGGGGGCACACACATGCATGTAGGCAATACACTCATGCACATTAAAAAAAAAAAAAAGAGCTTAAAAACAGGACTGGCCAGATGGCTCAGTGGGTAGAAATGATAACTGTGCAGTCCTGACAACTACTGAGTTTGAGCCCTGGAACCCATGGTTGGAAGAAGACTAGAACCAACTCCCTAAAGTTGCCCTCTGGCCTCTACATGAGCACCACAGCATGCATACACCCACACTCAAAATAATAATTTCAAAGCTCAAAGTCTAAAAACAAAAGTCAGCCAGGGAGAATTTTCTTCTGCTCTGACCAAAGGACAATACTTACTCTCAATCTTCTCCTTCTGGAAGTATTTCATTCCAGCCAATAAAGCTCCTCCAATGGCAAAGGTGACCGCTAAAGACTTCCAAGAAACAGGCTACTGGGACGAATTTCAAAAACAAACATAGGAGTAAGACGCAAACATTTAATCATACTGTATCACCCAAGTTTTCAAAAGGGGTATAGACACACAAACCATTGTTGTTAAATATGTAGAATGCTTCCGGAAAATGCTGAAAAGTTTCTGTGGATGCAGTTTATAGCGTTACAGAAGCACTCTTTTCCAGGAGGAAATTCCCCAAGTCAATTTCTATTGATGTCGAAAATAATCCAAAGAAGCTCAAGCACTATGACTGTGATCTTGGCTGCAACTGTTGATTTAAAAACCAATTAAGGGCTGGAGACAGACCTCAATTGGTAGAGTGCTTACCTAGCATGCACCAAGCCCCTGGGTTCCACGCCCAGCACTTCATAAAACTGGGTGTGGTGGTGCTTACCAGTAATGTTAGCACTCTGGAGGAAGGCAGGAGGATCAGAAATTCAAGGTCATTCTCTGGCACATACTAAGTTCTAGGCCAACCTGAGATACACTAGACCCCGTTTCAATAAATAAATAAAACATAACAATTAACTACTGGCTTCTGCTGACACTGAGAACAGAATACAATGAATAAAATTGGGGTTACCTAACTGGCTTCCAGAAATAGCAGCCAAAGCAAAAAAGACATCTAAGTGGGGCTCCTGGTGGGTAGAGAGATGGCTCAGCAGTTAGAGTACTGGTTACTCTTGCAGAGGGCCCGGGTTTGGGTTTGGTTCCCAGCACCCACAAGGAAGCTAACAACCGTTAGCTCCAGTTCCAGGAGGTCCAATACCCTCTCCTGACCTCCACAGGCACTGCATGACACGAGTGCACTTACACACATGCAGGCAATGCACTCACATAAAATAAAAATAATAAATAATAAATGTGGGGCTCCCTGAAAACTACATCGAGTTATTTCTTTGTACGCTTTAAAGACCTAAAATAAGATGTTTGCTACCTAGGCCTAACTGATTAACAGTTCTCCACATCCACAGTTCTTATTAACACAACAAGCAAGGTAGTGACTCTTTAAGTTTGAGCGAGAACACCGAGGGTGAGTGTGTGTGGGGGCAGATACTCAAACACAACAAGAAACATGTTTTCAATTTCTAGTTACACCGGGAACCCGCCAAAGGGTATTCACGTGACAGGTTATAAAGGTGTTTTGGCTCGACAAAGTTCAGATTCTTAAAACCTGGAACTAATTTTATATTCTTGGAATAAATATTCACATACCCGAGCCAGGGTAGCAAACCACGAAGAGAGGGTTGTCTAGACTGGGACTACCCACTCCAGGAAGCAGGGAAAGTCGAGGAGAGGGCACTTTCAGGCCTCGCCGGGGGACCATCTGCGGTTAAACGCGAAGGGATAGGGCTGCTGGGAACGCGAGCACCGAAGGCTCCAGCTGGAAACTCACCCCGGACTTCGAGGGGCCTCGGCCGCCCTTGGGCTGGGGCCCTGTAGGCCCCGGCGGTGTCGGCGCCGCTGAGCTCCAGGCCCGGCTTCCCCCGCGGCAGTGCGGGAGCGCCAAGCCCCAGGGCGCCTGCCCCGGCCGCAGGCAGGGCGGCATCTCCCCGAGTGCGAGGCAGTGAGGGAACAGGCGCCACAGCCGGCAACATTGCTGCCGAAGTGCGGCACCGGGAGCCCGAACCAACCCGGCCATACCTAGAAGACCGCGCCTCCTTTGACCCGCCCCTCTATTTCCGCCTGGCTTCCGCTTCCGCCGGAAGTCGGGTGAGGCCGCTCTTCTCGCGGGTCTCGGTGGTGACGCCGTTGCCTAGACAGTTGGCTTGGAGCCCTGGCAGGTGCTGCGGCGGGCGGTAGGTGGTTCCCGGAGACTGGAGGGTGGGCTGCGGGAGGTGGTCGCGGGTCCTGGGCTGGGCGGAAGCGCCCCGGGCTGCTGACGCTAGAAGAAAACCGAGGACCAGCTTGTCCCCTAGTCCTGCAGGGTATCGAAACCTTCCAAGTGAAACTGCCAGGTTTCAAACCCCCAAATAAGTCGTCCAGTAACAACAACAACAAAATAGGACTGAGTTAGAACTGAAACCGAAGTGTCAGCATTTCTAACTGCATTACAAGGCCACATGATTATAAAGCATTGCGGAAAGGATGTACTTAGTCATATCCATGCTTGGCTTAGTTTCGGGGGGTCCCCGTTCCTCTTCTTTAAAAAAAAAATTAAAGACAGGGTCTTCCTTGTAGCCGTAGCAGCCCTGGAACTCGCTATGTAGACTAGGCTGTCCTCAAACTCACAGAGATCCACGTGCCTCGCCTCGCGATTACTGGGATTAAAGATGTGCAGTACCACGTTCTGCGGAGCCCGGTTTCTTAAAAAGATCCCCCTCCCCTGATTAAAATTTGTTGATGGATTCATCTGGGATTGTTATGTTACTTGCCTACAGCTAAATACTTTCAGTTTTTTGTTCCTTAGAAAATTTTAACAAATTTCCATCTGCTTTATTTTTTGAAAGGGCTGGGAATGGAATCCAGGGCCATGTACAATTAGGCAAACGATGTTCGGTTGAGCCACATCCCCAGCCTGTCATCTGCTTTTGTTTATGGCTCAGTATCTGCAATCTTCATCCTCCTTCCCTACCCCTACCCCTCACCTCAGTGGTGGTTGACAAAAACAAGAACAAGAAAACAGCCTATCTGTCTGTCTTTAATTTTGGCTTTTTTTCATCCCAGAGGGCTTCCAGTTATTGCTTCAGTGATTGGCGGATTGGAGCATGTTATTGTTTTCTCCAGTGTTTGGCTCATCTAGCCAAGTGTGCTGCTCTCCAACCAGTAAGTAATATTGTAGCTTAATATTACTTGTTTATTCTCAAGTTGAGCAGGAATCTTCTGAAATTTGTGCCTAAAGCTACTAGAGGGCTTTTAAAATATATTTTTAAATTGATTTTATTTTATGTGTATGAGTGTTTTGCCTAAATATATGTAAATACATCTGTGTTGTGCAGTGCTGGAGGAGGCCAGGAGACGGTGTTGGATCCCCAGAAACTGGAGTTACAGACAGTTGTTAGCCACTGTGTGGGTACTGGGAACTGAACCTGGGTCCTCTTCAAGAACAACCAGTGCTCTTAACCTCTGAGCCATCGCTCCAGCACATATATGGAGGTCAGAGAACAACTTGTAGGAGTCAGTTCTCACCTTCTACCATGTGGGTCCCAGGGATTGAACCCAGGTTCTCAGGCTTGATAGTAATGCTTTTACCTGGTGAGCCAACCTGATGTGCCCCCCCCTTTTAAAAAATTAAATAAAATAAATCAGTACTGGAATTTATTAAGAGATTTTAACATAGGCTTAAGATAATAGGGATTACAGGACTGGAGAGATGGCTCAGTGGTTAAGAGTGCTGTCTGCTCTTACAGAGCACCTGGGTTCAATTACCAGCATCCACATGCCAGCTAACAACCATCTATAACTCCAGTTCCAGGGGAATCCAACGCCTTCTGACCTCCGCAGGCATTGCACAATAAGCATGCACTTACACACATGCAGACAGTACACTCACACACCAAAAATAAAATAAATAAAATATTTAAAACACAAAAAAGAATAGGGATTAGGGGACTGGGCATGGTGGTACACCCTTTGATCCCAGCACTTGGGAGGCAGAGACAGGTGGATCTCTGTGAGAAGAAGACCCAAGTTTAAATCCCAGCACCCACGTGGTGGCTGACAACTGTAACTCCAGTTCTAGGGGATCCAATGCCCTCTTCTATCTTCCGCAGGCATTGCACAATAAGCATGCACTTACACACATGCAGACAGTACACTCACACACCAAAAATAAAATAAATAAAATATTTAAAACACAAAAAAGAATAGGGATTAAGGGGACTGGGCATGGTGGTACACCCTTTGATCCCAGCACTTGGGAGGCAGAGACAGGTGGATCTCTGTGAGATCAAGGCCAGCCTGGTCTATGTGGTGAGTTCTAGGCCTCCTGGGGTTACAGGAAGACTTGATAGAACTTTAGATTCATTTTACTGGGACAAGCTAAACCCCAACTTTTTGTGAACTTCTGGCACTGTAACATGTTTGCCTCATCTTAGATCTGGACTCCTGTGCCGAATCACAAGCATTTCCTGTCTCAGACTTCCTCTATTAACACTAACAATATGAAGTACTTTTCTTGTTCTGTGGACTCTCTATTAAAACTTTGCTCTGAGCTTCTGTTACTATTGTCTCTTTTAACAGTCTGATTATAATGATGTCTAACACAGGCACATGGATCCCTTTGTTTTGCCTTTGCCCATTGAGCCATCTTGCTGGTCCAGTGACAACAGTTTTAGAGTGAAGAGAGCCCCTAATTCTCATGAGTAAGTCAAGTTGAAGTCTGACCTCTGTGCCCAGTATGGAGTTGTAGACTCCCTCTGTTTTGGGATACACTTAAATTGGGATTTTTTCATGTCTGTGGAGGATGAAATAGGAGCTCTGTGGATATAATGAACAAATGACTGGCCACAGGAATTCTGTGGGATTTTACAAAATCAAATGGATATTTAGAAACAACTAGATTTTAATAAATCAGATAACACTGTGGTGGTTTATAACTGTCATAATCCTGTCCGTCCATAACAAGAATAGTTGATAATTTAGGACCTTGGCCTTTGATGTTTGTCATAATCCTTAGTATTCCTGGTTCTTCTAGAACTACAAATTCAGATTATATATATAATCCAATAAAATAGTTTTCTCAGGTTTAAGTGTTTTGGTCTTGGTCACTGAGTCAGAGTTCTTATGTAAGAGGAAAAGATTTTTGTTTTCTGTTTTGATTCTAGGGTAAGAAGTTGTTACTAAGATTAGAAACTAAAACTGGTTCAAATTAGAATTCAGATATTGAAGAAGCAGGAACCACTGCTCTTGAAAAGGACAATACTCAAAATAGTTTCAGTTTTTGTACTTTTTAAAAAGATTTTATTTTTCATGACTGTTAATGTGCATGTGTCAGTGGATACCCTAGGGGCCAGAAGAGGTCATTGGATCCCCGATGCTGGAGTTAGAGATGGTTGTAACCCACCTATTCGTGTGTTGGGAATGGAATTCTGATCCTCCGGAAGAGCAGAAAGTTCCTAACCATCTCTCCAGCCCTTGTGCTAGTTTTTTAAAAAAAATTATTTAAAATTAACCTCTTCATATTTTTACTGTCTTCCCTTATTACATCAGACACAAAAGATGAAAAACTTTTTTCACTGAGCTTCTCCAACAAGGAGAAAAGATTCAGCCTGCTGCAGAGGATCCCCTAGTGGGAATCCGATGTGTATAGTAAATGAGTGAATGTGTAACAAAAAACCCTGAGGTGGCCAGGCACAGTGACACATGCCTTTAATTCTAGCACTCAGGAGGCAGAGGAAAGTGGATCTCTGTGAGTTTGAGGCCAGCCTGGTCTACATAGTTCCAGGTCAGCCAGGGCTACATAATGAAGTCCTTTCTCAAAAAACAAAAGTCCTGAGGTTTTGGTAAAATTATATTAATATGGGCGAGAATGTCTTACTTCTGTTTAAAATGTGTGAAAAATGAGAAATTATTCCACAGGCTGGAAATTATTCCACTAGGCTGTACTAGGGTAGAATTCCTAGTCATTAGCATGATAGTGCCCTTTTGTAAGTCCTTACTCTTCTGAATGATAGAGGTTATCATCTATTTTAAAGATGAGATGACTGAAGCATTTCAGGAAAATTATGATATTTTTTAACTGGGCTATCTTTTCCCCTCTAGTTTTTTTAGAAACCTGTTTGGAGGTTATGGCTGATAAGCTGAAACCTGACGTCATGGCTGATGGGTCAGAACGACTTTTTTCCTTTGGAGTTATAGCAGATATTCAGTATGCCGACATAGAAGATGGATACAATTATCAAAAAAGCAGACGGAGATACTACAGACACAGTCTTCTTCACTTACAGGCTGCCATTGAAGACTGGAATAAAGAAAGCACCATGCCTTGCTGTGTCCTGCAGCTTGGCGATATCATCGATGGCTACAATGCACAGTATAAAGTATCGGAAGAGTCTCTAGAACTTGTCATGAACACGTTCAAAATGCTTAAAGTCCCAGTCCATCATACATGGGGAAATCATGAATTCTATAATTTCACTAGAGACTTCTTAACAAACTCTAAACTTAACACCAAGTTTCTAGAAGACCAGATTGTACACCATCCCAAGACCTCACCTTCAGAGAATTACTATGCCTATCATTTTGTGCCATTTCCTAAATTTCGGTTTGTTTTACTCGATGCTTATGACTTGAGTGTCTTGGGCATAGATCAGTCTTCTCCAAAGTACGAGCAGTGTATGAAGATGCTGAGGGAGCACAATCCCAATAAGGAGTTGAATAGTCCTCAAGGTGAATTATTCCTTTGAGCTGAGAATCTCATTCATTGTCTTTAAATTCTTCACCTACCTTTTATTCAGCAGGAAGATGAATATTAAGGTAAAAGTATATTGTCGCTGTTGTTCAGGGTCAGGATTTCTCACAAGCCTGGTGTCTCGTGAATTGGTTACAGCTGATTCAAGCTTCAGATTCACGTTTAACAGATATTTGAGTGCCTATTCTGGGACAAGCACTTGACAATATAATTTTTTTTTAAATAGGGGGAACCATAGGTGGGCAGGGCAGATAATAAGGGTATGAATTAGTCAGCTTTCTATCACTGATAAATATCTGAGAGAATCAACTTACGAAGAGGAAAGGTTAATTTGGACCTCTGGTTTCTGAGGTTTTGCTCTGTAGTAACTTAGCCTTATTGCCTTTGCCCTGTGGTGAAGCGGCACATCATGGCATGAGTGTATGGTTGAGGGAGCTGCTTACCTCATTATAGCCAGGAAGCAAAGAGGAGGAAGAGGGCCTGCCTTCCAGTGTCCCCATTGAGTGCATCTTCCCAGTAACTTTGTTTCTTTCCACTAGGCTCTACCTCTAAAAGGTTTTACCACCTCTTAGTAGGACCACAGTTGATGACCAAGTCTTCAACACATGAGCAAGTTCTTCAGCCCTTGGAGAACATTCCAAAAGCAGACTATAGCAATGAATGAAATAGAAGCAAGATTATTTCCCTGTGATAACTGCGTCCAAGAAAATAAAGCTTTTGTCTAGGTGACAGAGGAGTTATACTTAGAATGGGATAGGGAGCTGACAGTTACAGGGAAAAACAAATGCAAAGGCACCAAGTTGAATAAGACTTTGGCATTGTTGAACAACACGGGATTCACTGGGATACACAGTGCTTGGGAGAATCAACAGATACTAAGCTGTGTGGTAGGGCTGAGAGGGGTAGGTAAATAGGGGGTTGCATTTTCTTTTTAGAATAACAGCCAGGGAAATAAGCAGAGGAGCAGCAAGTCTAGAATTGAGAGAGGGATGTTTCTAGATGGCTCTACATCTTAAGGTGTCCTATATTTAGTCAGTTGCTACTCATAAAATATCCCTAAAAAAAGAACAAGTGTCCTTGCATTAGCTGAACTTGAATGCCCCAAACAAGGGAGGAAATGAGATATGATGGGTCTAACTTACTGAATTCATTCAGGACTTTCTGAGCCCCAGTATGTCCAGTTCAATGGAGGATTCAGTCAAGAACAGCTGAACTGGTTGAACGAAGTTCTTACATTCTCTGACACAAACCAGGAAAAGGTGGTGATTGTAAGTAAGTATTTAAATGTTCTAGTTATACTGGCATTTTAGAAACTGGGAAGTTAGCTGTTAAAGACTAGTAATATTTGCATTTGTAATGTTTTGTATTTGGCATTCCTTCATATTTGTGAACATCTAATTCTGTTCTGGGTGCCAGAGGTGTGGCTATAGTTTGCCTACTCAGTGATCCAGGCTGACTCTGATCCTCCTCCCTCAGCTTCCCAAGTGTTGAGATCACAGGAGTGCATTATCTAATCTGGTGGTCTCTGTGTGGATTTAAGTGCTAACTTTTAGTCATCTATCATGATGGAAAGGAGATTTCTTAATTGGATCCCAACTTCTTTTCTTTAACAGGCCATCTTCCCATTTACCCAGAGGCCTCTGACAGTGTGTGCCTGGCTTGGAACTACACAGATGCCCTGGCAGTCATATGGTCTCACAAATGTGTGGTGTGTTTCCTGGCTGGTCACACTCATGATGGTGGCTACTCTGAGGACCCTTTCGGTGTGCACCATGTCAACCTTGAAGGAGTTATTGAAACTGCTCCAGACAGCCAAGCTTTTGGCACAGTTCATGTCTATCCTGACAAAATGATGCTGAAAGGGAGAGGCAGAGTTCCAGACAGAATTATGAATTACAAGAAGGAACAAGCTTCCCATTTTTAGTCTTGTTGTCTTGTTTCTTTGTATAAAGAGAATGATGTTGTTTTGTGCTTTACCCAATCACACAAAAAGTCAGACAGAAATTCTCAGTCTCATTGCTTAGTATTCTATTTGTATACATTTTGTATATAGAATTTGTGGTTTTAATGTGTGTTAGTGAAGATAAAATATTGACAAATGTTTTTGGATAATATATCCAAGTGGTGAAAGTTCAAAACAAAATAAACCAGGAAAGAGCCTATAATGTGGGCATATAACCCTGATAAGAGACTGTTTGGCCTAACTTGATTTTTTTTCTTTCTGCAAGGAAAATGTACTCATTAACTATATAGCTTAAAATAATAAAGTCCGGGCAAGCTTTTCTGTTTACTCTGAAGTATAAATGATCTTTGGACGGTTTTGTTCAGAATTCCTATGCTTGGACTTTAAAGGTCCAAAATGGGCATTCCCATTTTGTGAAGAAAAACCATGAGAAGTTATTTCAGATGAATGAAAGTGTGGTGCTCATCTTAGAAGGGCCTGCAGGGACGCCTTGCGTTAACCTTAGGATGCTAGCCAAAGCAGGACCAAGCATCAGTGTTGTGTGCTTGTGAGCTTCGTCTGTGCTCTATGGGAGCACAGTATATAAATTAATTTATCTTCGACTTTTTTAGACAAATGAAACGTATTTAACTCAGTTGTCATACATGCCAAGGCTTATCTGCAGAAACTCTTTAGTTAACGACTCTAAGTGAAGACTGTTCAAAGGTAGAGTTTGATTTGGGACCTAAAAACAGAAATCCTAATGAACATGTACCTGTGAAGTGCCTACAGGAAAATAAAGGTGCATTCATTTCCTAGGACTGACTTGATGAAATCCTGAATACTTAGTGGCATGCCACATGTATTTGTTCTCTGGGTGTTCCAAAGGTCTTGAGTCTAAAACCATTTTCACCAGGCTGAAACCAAGTATTTGTTCATGGCCACATTCCCTTAGGACATTCCTCTAGGCAGAACCCCTTTCTTTGCTTTTTCTGGCCTTTTGAGCTATACTTTACACACACACACACACACACACACACGGTAATCCAGTGTCTATCCATGTCAAGATCCTTGATCTTGTATAGAGTCCATTTTGCAGTATGAGGCGACGGGTTCTGGGGATCTGTCTTTGAGGCCATCACCCAGCTGGCCACAGCGACGACTGTACTGTGTTCCTGAATGCATTATGTCACTGGGAGGGGGAGAGACAGAGCCACAGATACAAATGTGTGAAATTGCCTACTACACACCAAAAGACAAGAATGTGAGAGAAAACTTTAATTTTGTTTGACAAGACTAGGGATGCCATGAAAAAAGAAAAGTGGTTTAGATAAGTGGGGAAGAGCATTTTAAGAACAATACGAGTACCTACCCTACTGATGGCAGGCACTGGCCCAAAAGGCTGCCATAGAAATACTGTGACTCATGGACCCTGTACCCTTGCCTGGGCATCAAGAAAAAGTACAATCTAAAAGCAGAGGTATCAAGGGTCTGCTGGGTTTAGGAGAGGCCAGTGATAATGTGCGGTTTCACCAGACGGTGCTCAGTAATGTGAGAAATGGAGCCAAGCATGATGGAGAAAGGCTGTGTTGTGAAGAGCCTTGACTGAGGAGCCAAGAGTTAGAGCATCACAGACATGAGGAGCTCTTGGTTTCTGAGCTGAGGAATGTATGACTGTAGATAGTAACAGAGGTAGAAGAGGGCGAATGTGAATATTTGGGTGTTGGGGAAGATATTTTAAGAAATGAAATTTGCTAGTGGTTCTCTCTTTTTGAGACAAGGTCTCCCCTGTAGCCCCAAGCTGGCTGCAGAGATCTGCCTGCCTCTTCCTCCTGTACTGGAATTAAAATCTTGCTAATAGTTCTTAAATGCAATAGAAAAAAAGAATTTAGTCCTCCCACCTCTTTTCAGAGCACTGCCTATGGGGTGGCTGTCATCTACTCAGATCTCCAGTGACGCCCAAGATCATCAAAAGGAAGACCAAGAAGTTCATCCAGCACCAGTCAGACCAATAAGTCAACGTTAGACATAACTGGTAGAAATCCAGATGCACTGACCACGGTGTGGAGGAGATTTGGAGGCCAGATCCTGATGCTCAGCACTGGTTGAGCAACAAGAAAACAGCACATGCTGCCCAGTGGCTTCTGCAAGTTCCCCATACGTAATATCAGGGAACTGGAAGTGCCCCCGATATACAGCAAATCTTACTGTGCTGAGATCTCAGTGTTGAGCCATCATGAAAAGAACCACATAACTGGGTCTCAGCATCACCAATCCCAACGCCAGGCTGCACAGCGAAGAAAATGAATAGATGGCTCACATTTCATTTGTGCATGAATAAAACCACAAAAACTGAAGGAGGGGAAGAGGAATAGAGTTTAACCTGACATCATGGCTAGCCTGGGCTACATAATAAGACTCTGCCCTGCCTAAAAAATTTATTTTTTATTATTAGTAAGGACCAAAGACACACACCAAAAGTTAGTGTCTTACATGCTTTGCAGAAGGTGCAAAATGTACTGTGGATATTCACAGAAATCCTAGTCTGATACAGGAGATGTAAATAACTGTGTATTTTGAACACATTAGTGTAATTTACACAGAATCAAGCATGATTTGAAGGATCAATAGGGCCTGTATAGAATTTGTAGTGAATCAGCTTCTTTGTGATATAATAGTTTCTAAAGGAGGTACAAAAGCCATAAAGAACTGTTAAGCCAAATGGACATGGAAAAACTCAAATCCTTTTCTATATTCTGTTGACTCTTAAACTACACTGATCTGCTTTAATATCAGTTTTACCTTTTAGATAATTTCTGACTTCAGTGCCTACTAGTTTCAGAAGCAAAATTCATATTCCCTTTAATATTTACAGACTACTGTTGCATTAAAGGATATAAAAATAGACAAATTATCAGATTCACTTTATTTAAATGAAATGTTTTTTAAATCTCATGAAATAGCATCTGGCTACAGAGTTTGATTCCAGGATATGTAAGTTATCATCTGGATGTCTATGAACAACATGCAATATGAACTCTTCATTTTAAACATTCACACAGTCACATTAAAAAAATACAATATTTTTAGTTAACCCAATATATCTTAAAATGTTGCTTCAATATAAAATTAGTATGAAAATACATTCTGTTTATATAATGTCTCAAATCCATCATGCATTTTGCACACATTCATCTGGACGCTAAACTTCTGTTGGATACTTGCTCTGTAGAATCCCACATTTGCAATGGAAAAAGTAGATTTACACAAGTGATTCAAAGCAAACAATTTTTTCTGACAATTGAATATGTTTTTAAATTAAAATAAAAATTAAAAATTGACCGGCACTTCACTTTTCACACTTCAGATACTTAATTTCAAATGTGCCTATTGCTCCTATATTAGTGTTGCCCTAAAATGCTCTCCTCTCTAGGGTCACTTGGACATTCATTGAAAAATGTGTTTGTGCGGGGCATGGTGGTGCAGGCTTTTAATCCCTTTAATCAAGCTGAGCATGGTGGTGCATGCCTTTAGTCCCAGCACTTGGGAGGCAGAGTCAGTGAGATCAAGGTCAGCCTGGTCTACATAGTGAGCTCCTAGCCAGCTGGGGCTACAGGGTACCTTGTCTCAACAAAATGAAAAAAAAAAAGTTTAGATTCTTTTTTTTTTTGGTCTTTTTGAGACAGGGTCTCCCTGTAGCCCCAGCTGTCCTGGAACTCGCTATGTAGACCAGGTTGGCCTTGAACTCACAGAGATCCGCCTGCCTCTGCCTCCCAAGTGCTGGGATTAAAGGCGTGCGCCACCACGCCCAGCTGTTTAGATTTTTTTACCTTATTTCTCACTGAGAAAAATGAGAAATTATTATTAATATTCCCTATTCTTAATCCCAAACTCCTTTTTCTACCATTTTTCTTTCGACTTTCTCTTTCCCAACAAGTCTATCCTGTGGTTCATCTGTTCTAGTCTTCATTTAATTCATCCCACTGAACCAGTTCAGTAGAATGGGATTAGTTATGGACTACAGTCTCTTCTTGAGCCCACCTCATTTCAACATGTTACCCCAACTGCTCTCCTCTTTTCTTAGTCATGCACAGTACTTTGTAATCTGCAAGCTCTTCATATCTTCAGCATGTTTTCATGGTAGCTTGGTTGCGGTAATTGTAAGTAGGAAATCTGGCATTAATTATTTTATACATAAGGAAATATCCACCAGGAATTTATATATTTGCCCACGTCACATGGGTAGTGATAAAGTGAAACAGAGCTCCAATTCTTTTTTTTTTTTAAGATTTTATATTTTATGTGTATGGGTGTTTTGCCTACATGTAAGTGCACCACGTATGTGCTTGGTGCCCTCAGAGGCCAGGAGACGGTTTCAGTCCCCTGACTGGGAACTCCAGTTTTTTAAACTTCTGTTTCAGTGCCTGTCCCACTGCCCTAGCACAGTATCTTTCAAAAGAGGCTTCCAAAGAATGTCAGACCCCACCTCTTATATTTATTCTGTTCAATCTTATATTATAGGCAGCCTTGTAAAATTCTCAAGACCTTTAAGCCATCTCTAGTATTAGCTCAAGTTTCTTGAAATAAACTGTAAAACTGTCCTGTTACCCTAATACTTAAATATTAATTTGAACATTCTGGAATTAATTTAAATTACTGTCTTGCAGTGAGTTGGCCAGGAGGATCGCATCTCCTTGTGTACATATATGTAGACCCATGAAATAAGCGGGAAAAGAGCTATTGCAACAGCAAGAGCCAATTGAATTCTTCCACCAACTGGATTCCTACAAAGACACACAAAAATTATTATAAATAAAAGTCTAATAAAACTTATGAGTTGTTTTGGAAATAAGCATAAAGATGAAATTAGTAAAATGATTAAATCTTAATATTTGTGTCTTTATTAAAATCAATTGATTTTTATAAACTTTTTATATACTTGATCTTTATGTGTTTTGCAGATCTCTTCCCACTAAGTGTGTTTTGAAGAATATTGATTAATTAGGTTATGCAAAAATAAATTTATCCTTCCCTAATGATTTTTTTTTTTTTTTTTTGGTGCCCGATGTAAGAAATCTTTCCCTCCCCAAGGCAGATTTTTTGTTGTTTTTGGTTTTCTTGTTTTGTTTTTTGTTTTTGAGACAGGGTCTTGCCATGTGGCCCTTGTTGGCCTGGCATTTAATATGTAGCTCTGGCTGGCCTTGAACTTATAGTAATCCCCCTGCCTCAGCCACATGACTGCTTACAATGTATTTCACCATGCCCATCTTTCCTCAAGGTCTTGAATACACTATTGCCTTCTGTAGAAATTTCATTTTTAATAATTTTACATTGAGTCTATAATCCACCTGGAAGTGATTTTTATGAAAATTCATTTTTTTCATGTACATAACCCAGGTGATCCAGACACTGTTTATTGAACATGCTGCCTTTCTTCACTGCCTCATGGTACTACCCGTTCTAAGTCAAGATTTCACTTTTATATGGATTTGTTTCTAGAGTCTATTCTGTTCCATTCCTTTTGCCAATATGGCTTTGCTCCTCTAATTATTTAGACTTTAACTTCTCCCATAATACATAAACATGCATATCTCTGCTAGATTTATCCCTGGGAAGTTGATTGAGGTTGTTATAGATAATGGCAACTTTTGTTTTTTTACCACTTTCTGCAGCTTGCTAATAGAAATGCTGTTGCATTTTGAGGAGTTGATTCTCCTGCTTCGACTTGGGCTCCAGGAATTGAACTCAGGCTTGCATAGCAAGCCCAGTTACCAGCTGAACCATCTTGCTGATCCCTGAGATTTGTAATTCACCTAGTCCATCATTCTTGCTAATGCATGTATTCTAATAGCTTTTAAGTTCTTTTTTTTTTTCTTTCTAATGCAGTGGTATCAATTACAAATCATGAAAATTTTCTTCCCAATCTTTGGACCTTCTTTTTAAAACCCTTGCCTTACTGTGCTAGCTGCCTCAGCTACAGCAGTCTTGGAAGTGGCAGCAGCAGCCGACTGCAGCTCCTTTGGCTCAGGAGTGCCTCACCTTTAATCCTGCTTTGGTATGGATACCCTCTGTCAGGTTAAGTTCCTTTCTAAATCTATGTACTAAAAGATTTTATCATGAATAGATGCTGAAATTCATCAAATGCTCTTTCCTGCATACCTTGGGAGAATACTTTGTTTTAGTCTGTTAAATAGTGGAAGACACTGGTTAAATATTTCATTGTATTTCTAGAATGAAGCCGACTTGGTAATATACATAGTAGGATTTGATTTGTGAATGTTTTAAGATTTTGCCATCTGTAGAGGTTGAAGATATGACTCAGTAATTAAGAACAAATACTGCTTTTGCAGAGGACCTGAGTTCAGTTCCCACCACCCACATCATTAGGCTTACAACTGCCTTTAACTCCAGCTCCGGGGGATCAGAGGACTCTGGCCACCCCAGGCACCTCCACTCACATGTGCATACCACACACCC